TCATCAATTAATAAATGTGAAATCGTAATTTTCAACACAAATAATAGTCTCGCTACCTTAAGATATACTAATGGAGACTTTATTAATTTATTACCTGACTGTACATATCTAATTTGTATTTGATAAGCCGACAATAAATATATTTCATAAAATTATTGTCTATCCTGGTATAGTAGTGTTGCTGAAAACTGACGTGAAGTGAAATTCAACTGGCATCTCCAAGATCATTGACGCTGTGACCAAATTTGTCAACTAATTGGAAATCACATGTTAGCTTTTGATGGATAGGTGGAGTATGGTGCCACTAGATATTTGGTTGGCTGTCTATGAGAGTGGTTACCAGCCGAGTTGATCAGAAGCGCTATCTCTATCCAACAAATGTATCTATAAGCTGGTTTGTCTGACAAAAAAAAAAGTTTTCAAGCATATATCAAAAAATCGAAAACAATTTAGCAGCAGATGTATAATTGTTTATTTTCTCAATTATTAAAAAAAAAATCACTGAATTTCAACTGGTGTGTCTGAAACAAAGACTTATGACAGCAATTGGGAAAGAAAAAAAACAGTACTAGAATCCAATAGTTTGAGGAAAGTCAGAATGTGTTTCTGCACATATATTAAGTGTCTGTTAATAATATTGCGACAGCAAACATTTAAAACTTAAAATATAAATGGTGAGTTGTTATTTTGTTGATCTACATGACCGTGGTATTCGTGACAGTGAACGCAAGATGGGAGAGAATACACACAAGATCTGGGCGGTATTTTGCAAATTATTTTTAACGGTTTTACTTAAAGCGGTGGAGTCACCTGCGCATGCGTCAGATGGCCATAGCGTGTCATTGTTTACAAACAAGCATCTACTCATGAGCCTTTGCATTTTTAGCGCGTTTTATCGTCGCTTGGGACTCAAATCCCACGCATGCACAAGTGACAACCCTCTCGTAATCATTCCTTTGTTTTGGAATATGGATTTATAAGATAAGGTTAAGCAACTTTCATAACCATGTCAAGTGGGTGATATACAATGAAGATCTCATGAATAGCGAGATCTCACGATTTGGGAAGACTTTAAAGCAATCCAACGATTGCTTAAACAGAATATGCAAATTAAGCATATTTACATAATATGCAAATAAGCAATAACACTACCAAAATGAACATGATTTTTTACAACTCATTTGCATTATGTTTCCCCTCCTGAAATTATGTGACATCTCACAATATGTAAGATCTGCATTGCATTTAACAGCAATGGACACTTTAATTTAATAAATCCCTAACTGTATAAGTATCATTTTATGTAAGGGACGACGTCAAAAGATCGATGTCGGATAAAAAACTTATTTCCTTTAGTTTGGGGGTGGGGGGTTTTGACCTCAAAAAGTTTCCATCCTACAAAAACGATTTTATTTTTTAATGAAGTCAAAACAATCTTGGAGTATTTGTAGTTTGTTTTTCTATCCAATCATGGACAGAAATAACCGGAAAAGGGAAAAAAACAGAAAAATGGTTTGGTTCAAGTGTAAATCTGTGCATCAAATGAGGTG